GGATCATGACCTGAGCCGAAGGCAGTCGCTTAACCAACTGAGCCACTCAGGCGCCCGTTGTTTCACAATCTTGAAAAAATGTTTTGAATATTCTTGGTTCATGGGCCATGGGGGCTATAGTTTGCCAGATCCTTATGTAGGGCTTAGGTCCCTAAGGAACCTGCTGGACCCCTTTTTCCTCCATGGGAAAAACCTCTGAGATGTTTGTAAACCTTTATTTACTCATTATTTTTCTTACTCTCTTTCAGTAAGTAGCACCCACAGTAGGGCAGGGTATTGGGGGGTCTACCTGCAGGTGGTTAGACAGATAACCATGGGGCCACCTGCTTCGTGAGTCAGCGGAAGAGTGAATAATCCACCACAGCCTCCTGGGAGTATATCATTAACTCTCCTGTTTCTCTGCCTGTATCCCTTCAGAAATCACTTCTACCAGTTTGGGGAAATTCGGACGATCACTGTCGTGCAAAGACAGCAGTGTGCATTCATCCAGTTTGCCACGAGGCAGGCTGCAGAAGTGGCTGCAGAGAAGTCTTTTAATAAGTTGATTGTCAATGGCCGTAGACTCAATGTGAAATGGGGAAGGTGAGAATTAGACTCTTAACATTTTTTTATTGAGATTTTCAAGAAAGTGTTCCATTATCTGGGGACTAGTATGTTTTTGGTGAATAGATATAAATCAGTAGGACTGTTAAAAAGAATTTTTCATTTTCTAACACTTCAATCTTGTGGATGTTGGGAAGATACTGCTTTGGAAATTCATTCAGGGTTTTGATGTAGTAATCTACTCCTTTGAAGGTTCGTGTTTTTTATGACCAGCTATTATAGGCCAACTGTGACGCCAGGGTATGAAAAGTGGATTTGAGAGTTTACAAATGCATTAGACCTAGATTCTGCCCTCTAGAGGCCGGTTGTCCAATGGAGAAGAAAAGCTAATTCAAGTTTTTGAAAGTGATGATTGTGTAAGAGAGACTCAGGTGAAATGCCCTGAAAGTTCAAAGGGAGGATAGGTTTCCGGCTTGGAAGCAGGAAGGAGATCACTAAAAGCAGCGCCCCAGACCAAGTGCTTCCGGTGTGCTAAGTCAGCACTATGCCAAACACACAGAGGTAGCCTCTTCTCGTCCATACAACATTTCCAGCAGATTTTGGATCCACGTCTTTCTGGCTTTAAAACATTTGCTTTTATCCACTCTGCACTGTGGCCTTTATGGGGAAGGAGTGTTTGCCAAAGAGGAGGCAAGGAGCGAAGCATCTCTGCTTGACTAAGAAAATGAGAAGCAGACTTGTGAGAGAAGGTGGGACCAAGTGCTGACATTGTGTGTTTGTGTATGTCTCTCCCAGGTCCCAAGCAGCCAGAGGAAAAGAAAAAGAGAAGGATGGAACCACAGACTCTGGGATCAAGCTTGAGCCCGTTCCAGGACTGCCAGGAGGTGAGTGCAGACTTTCTGCTACCCGCCCCCCCCGGTAGCTGGATGACTTCAGATGCTCACACTGCCCTAATGTTCCTCAGTGTGAGGAGAGACCAGCTGGCTGGGTCTCTGGCTCCTGCAGCAGCCCTTTTCTTTTTTTTTTT